ATGTTCAACATTTTTCCAATGTAACGCTCCTTTATCCATTTTTGGCGACTGTGATACACTTCTTAGGATAAAAATCTGGACTGAAAATGATTTGACAATAGGAAATATTTGGAATCATAATCAGTAGGCAATTCAAGGCATGATATCTCTTACAGACATCCCCTCGTGAGGCAAGAGAAGTGGTGGCTTCTGTCTAAGTCATTATTATCAATTTTCCTCAAGATCTAAATCCATTGCCAACCCTATAGCGTTAGGAACAAATCGCTCGGCCAAGCTAAATAAGACCGAAAATAAATTGCACTGGTAATGGTGTGTAAGCTCAGAGTGACGCCTAAATACTTAACGGTTTAAATTACGAAGAAGGTTAGGTGTAAATCCTACAGAAACATGCGCAGGATCACTAGACAAATAGGATTTACTCTTAGGATGACCTGTCCTGAGATTGAGCATTTCAAATACTGACATTTAAATTGTTGACTTATTATGCACCTCAACATGAACGAAATGCTGCAAAACAATCGCTCATTTTCAGAGATGGGAACTTAAAATAAAACATCAACAGCGGTTCAAGCTCTGCGATTGCACGATTTCACTTGGTTTTCAAATCGAGTCTTCGATTATTTCATTGATGAAAACGAATTTAGTCGTCGTGCGTGGTTTGAAATGTAAGTGAATTAGTGTTGAATGCCTAACCATAAACAACTTATGTCCTGATATGGCATTAACTGTTGTAACTAATGAGAAATTTTTCACCAATTGCTCATTAATTGGTGACCAAATTTGTAAACAAATCTTTAAATAAAAGATTGAGTCAGGTTTTCTGTGCTGGGTTGAATGAGACATTATTCGTCTATAAAGATAATCCGGGTAGAAGTGGAAAATAAATTTATGTTGAATATGGGTTGCCGAATTAAATCGGAGGCGAAAGCTCCATAAAAGGCCGATGAAACGCGCGTGTATTCAATAGAGTTGAAACTCTTATGTATTTCTATTTTTTTGTACTCACGTAATGAAGTTTAAACTAATCATGATCGTGAAAGAAAGTTATACTCGCTTATTGTCTAAAATGCATGGAGCTGAAAATTGTAACAATCTCAATTGTTCCATGTTTTGGTAATTATAAAAACTCAAAAATATTGTTCCTGATTTTCGTACCTATGACGAGTACAAATGTCTCTTGTTTTTACCTTTTAATGCAAACAATAATTCTCAGTTTTGGAGTAACAATAAGGGCAATAGTTGTTAGTATTTAGGTTGTTAATGAGACAGCATTTCGTTTAAGAAAAAGTAAATTAGAGTATTTCATTTGCTCTTACTAGGCTGTCTTTCTTGCGATTCTAAGTAATCAAATGGTACTTTCAGAAGTAAATCAAAGAGTAACCACATTTGATATGAAAGCCATCTCATTAACTTCCAAGAAACAGCTACTCCTCTAAAAATTAGTTCTTATTTCTCCATTAGTTCTTATTTCTCCACTTCAACAAGTAATAAACTTCACTGAATTATTCAGTAGGAGTTGGACACGCTATCTTTGCTTCCCTCACTCGGCGTCCAGCACGACTCGTCCAGTCGCTCTCTCTGCCTCGTGCTGTGATGTCACGCGCTCGCCTGCCTTTCCTATACTGCTCGGTTGTGGTCATTAACTTCAACTGTCATCAATGTTGTGGTTGTTTTATAAATGTAAAGTTGGTGGAATGTTATTAATTTGAACGAAATATTGGCAATATTTGAAGAAAAATTGTCGTGAATATCCAAAGCAATCACAAATTTTTTTTTGAGTGGTTCAAATGATACTATAATAGACCCAATCATTAGCCTGCTTATTTCCTACATGGACATCGTCCACGAAATATTATAATTTTAATGATTTGAACTAAATTTAATGTGGGAAGAAGCATCGTGAAAAGAACTAACTTGGTTGAAGTGATTAAAAAATCGAATGTTTATCAATGCTGTCATGAATTTTAGGTATAAGGAATACTATTCTTCATTGCATTGTGAATAATATATTCAAGGAGAAATAAATATCCACAAAAGGTGTTCAGATTATGCAAACAATGAATTACTCATATTGAATGCTCACCAGTTTCTTTTGTAAAAGTACTCATATATTGCAGTTATTATGTATGCAAAAGGTTGATTTATTATCCGCGAAATTCTCGCTATGCTCTATGTTAAATTTAGCAAATTAAAAAGCTGTTAGTACTGTAATAATGAATTTTATTCTGGAATTAATTTGTAATTTTGGCATAGGGTGAGGAAGCTGTATTAACAAGACCTTAACCGTTGATATCATGTGAACATTTAATTGATGGAAACGGTTTATTAGAAAAATATTGCATTGAAAATGATGATTGCTACAAGTATTTCTTCAGCTGTGATAATTTTCATGGCCACCGCGCTTTTTTGTTACGGTAAGATCCCTGCTGCTGCTGTTATCGTAGTAGTGAACTTAAGAACATGTAATATGATATGAAGAACATGTCGCAGCATGATATGAAAATCTGTCATTCAGACTCATGTTATAATTTTCTTTCTTTGTTTTCTTTACCTTCATTAGTTTTTTCTCTATCGTATCCTAAATCAATTTACATGTAGATTTTAAAAAAGTAATTTGATATGTGCAAAGAGTGATAATTATTCCAAAAAATATTGACCATAAATGAACATTTTCAACCGAATTGAATTTTCACGAAAGTTTCAAAGGTAGATTTTACCTAGAAACGGTAATCTATAACTTTTTTCTAGTATATAATAATCTTTTCTATTATATTATAAAATGATTAGCATTGCCTATGAAACGGTATAATCCTTTTCTGAAATATTATCAACACTTATCAATATCAGATGTAGAGAATCAACCCAAGCCTTAATAATATTGTGCGCGCGACGTCTTTTGGCGACAGCTTTGCGTTCGTCAGAGAATGACCGACGAACTCTGAATGATTGTTGTTCTCATTACCTCGGTACTCTATTATTCAATCTCATTACTTCGGGAATCTCATCACCTACGGAATCTAAATGATTGTTGTCATCATTATCTCGGTAATCTATATAACGAAAATATTCGGCCTGTAAGCGTGATTGCCTATCCTTTTCACCGCCGTCTATGATTTGAAGACTCCGGTGCTTTGCGGCCCTAGTTTCTTGTGATGTTTGACGACTCCATGATTGTTTTCTACGGTCCATTATAGGACCCACTGCGGTCACGGCACGCCAGTCAAATTATGACACGGAAAGCTACTGTTTGTAAAAAAGACGTGTCATATTATTGCTGGACTGCGAAAAATATAACTCCTTCAGGAACATTTATACAAAATGACCAAAAATGCGAAAAACTTGAATGAAATTAGGAATTAATAAAAGGATAAATTACGAAAACTGGTTTTTTAAATTTCCCGACAACTTTGACAATATTTGGAATAACCTTTTCAAACAAAATGCAAAATATTATTAATAATTTTAGCTTAATAAATCTGAGTTGTTACTGTGTTCATAGAGAATCTACTTTGCGGAGCACAAAAAATTATATTTAATCTATGCTGGCACGAATGTACTGCTAGAACATGCATGGCCCCCGGCCTGGCTGTCTCATAACTCGATCATGGCTAGCATGAGCTTGCCTAGCCCAACGAACGTTTAAATTACCGCACTCTGTTTATAATATACCGCGAATTATAGGCGGCCATCTGTCTAGTATTTATAAGCCGCATATAAACCTACTAAGATTTTCTTTCGCGCCACAACGTAGGGCCTGAGAGCTTTAGTCCAGCGAGTTGGCAAGCCTTTTGAGGAGTAGAATTGCTTGTCCGTCAAACAAAAAAGGCCTAACATTTTAGTTTTGTCACTTCGCAAAATTGAATAGTAAATAATGAATACAAAGTTATTAATATTTTGAGAAGGGAGGAGCAAACGAAATGAATTTTTAATCCAAACTAGTTATTAGATATTATTGAAGGTTGCACAATTACCTTCAAAAACTTTCATTAATTGGCTAAAAATACTCATTAAGCTTTTGTAACAATGCACAAATTATTACATTTGTTTTAGAAAAATATTTTCTTCCGGCAGAGTGGCCCAGTGGTTAAAGTTCAGAGTACCAGGATTGGCGCAGAGAGGCGCGGGTTCGATCCCAGCTCTGTGCGTCAGTTTCTGGTCAGAATCGGCAAGGAGGCCGGGCGGTTAAGCACAGCAGAATTGTAGCTGTGAGTTGCGCGTTGGAGACCGCAAAATGCTGTGAATGTTCTGTGATGTTAAGAATCGGCGACAGGCCTACGGCCTAATAAACGTTGAAACCGCTATAACCGCTATTTCAATTGCTAATATTCATCTTGTAAATTTAATGATGGCGGCCTACATTTCACGGCAAGTCGATAACTGAGCGGCGAGAAGCGCATGCAAAAATTACAGGATTTTGTGTCTTATCTTTCCACTCTATTTATTAATCATCCGCCCCAGATCCAGGCGTGAATCAATTATTTATAGTTCATATACCTGTGAATCATGAACAGCCTGTTGCCGGAAGCCGTGTTAAGATTAGTAAGCGCGAACTAGCAGGATCTACTCAATGCTCGGAGATATCGACTTTATAAGCGTTTCAGGCTGCAACAATAATGAGAGTTTCAGCGAACGCTGTTTCTTTGTAGCAGGCTTATCTATTAAACTCATTCCTCTCTCGTACGTAAACTCAGTCCTTCAACGAAGTTGGATAATATCAGAGGAGTAAACTTGATTATATATAGAGAGTAGATTGGAAAATATATGGATGGGAACCGAAAATTATTGAGATTAATTCATTCGAAACTTGATTAGGATCTACAATATACACAAACGTTGTACGCAATCCTATATTGTAGACCAAACAATATACGCTAACAGTTACTGTGTATGGAGGTCCAGTAAATTTTTTTCAGTGACGGTAATGGCAGAAAAGTTGCTAACTGCAGCAATATTACTCGTGATTAAAACAATTTTAATAATTAATTTCATGCGCAGGTGATGTTTTACTCAGTAATACGAACGCATCGTTGGTTTCAACGAGCTTACAAGGAAGAACAAACCATCGACTGCAACAAATGGAATATCGCCAACCCTCTGCACAAACTTCTAACGCCGAGTCGTTTCCTCAGATTACAAAATCCCTACATAGTTCATCTGCATCTACAAATATAGTTACAACCGAAGTAATGTTTTCTGGAGATTTCAAGGATGAAGAAGAAAAAATGCCACATGTAGAAAAGGAAAACTTTGGTAAATTGAGAAATCATGGATCTAACCATAGACCAAATATTAATTCGCTCGTGGGAACCATCAACCATACTCAGTTCAACTTCGTATGGAATGTCAGAGAAATGAGAAACATGTTGTCGAGAAAAGAAAGAGCGGATCAAAAAAGCTTGACTCATCGAAGTGATTCCACCCATGAATTTATTCCCACAACTAACACCGACGCGAATGGTAATAGATCTTTCAACCATGCGAATGATGAAACTAAATGGGAAATGCAAAATAGAAGTATACATGGAAGGCATTGGGTCGAGTATAACTTCGACGCGGGAGCATCCACAACGACCACCGACACTTCCCTTCCAGAGAATCCCGTCGGTCTCAAAAATCCAAATATTTTGGTCGGTCCATGGATTGAAGAGCCGGCGGTGCGTAAATCAAAAGCGAATTTCAGGTGAGTTGCACGTTAGATGGGGAATTTTCAATTAAGATTCCCTACTGATAGCACAAGATTTTCACTCGCCAGACATTTATGATTTGAGACATGAAATTAAAAAAAAAATTCTTTACCCCAACATAGAATCACGGAGCCGATTTCCGTATGTCGCTTATGAAGATGGTTCTATATACGCGCATTTTTTTACAAAATTTTATCTATAATTCAACAGGTTAGGAAAGGAAGATAAGCCATTAATTCATCATTTTACGTTCAATTGCATGAGAGATGTCTGGGTAATATTAGTAAATTTATTTCCTTGGAAAATATATTTCTGGAAATTATATGATGTGTTTATTAATTTATTATTAGTTTACTTATTATTTATTTTATTTTTTTTATTATTTATTATTTTATTTATTAGTAACCGACTTGAAAAATTTAAACGGCAATGCTTTTTGCTTGACCAGCGGTGAAAATGACACCCTCGTGACGGCACAGACTGGCAGCACAGCGCAGTTGCCGTGCGTCATTTCCAACAGAGGTGACCACGAGACCGTGAGTAATCAAGTTAATTTGACAAGACTTTAATATTTGTTCAACGAACTCATGTTAAACATCCCATTATTTTTGCGGTGATTATATCATTTTGAAAGCGAATGTGTAATAATCAGTTAGTACTACCGAGGTAAAATATCTCTATACTTTCGATGCAAATGATTAAAATTTTCCGATATCAACTGTTTCAGATAATCCAGAAAAGCTGAATAATTATTTCAGCGAGTTACTTTGAACGATGTCAAGAAAACTGTAAACTTTTGCGCACATCATGAAAATCAACACAACTGGCATCATCATTCATAAACAAATTATATATTATGAATTACATTCTCATGACATCTTCAATGCCGTAGAATTTTAGCCTGGAGGATTCAAATTCTTTGAGCTCAAATACTGTTTAAGTTGATTATGTGGAAGGATTTGGGATCAGGCTCACTCGATGCTACATCGAGTTGCGAAGGAACCTGAAGCATCTAAGAGCGCTTGTAGCGCTCACTCGATGCTACATCGAGTTGCGAAGGAACCTGAAGCATCTAAGAGCGCTTGTAGCGTGCTCACTCGATGCTACATGCATCGAGTTGCGAAGGAACCTGCAGCATCTAGGAGCGCTAGCGGCGAGCTGACATGGAGCAATTTTGTGTTGTTTCATTACCAGGATATTGCCACCAGCAACAGCCATGTTTACGGCGGCTTGGTGAAAGGATCTTTTCACGGGTGTAGCTGGTACACTACAGCACATAATGCCATCGTCTCGTATCTTATGCTAAACATTTTATGAGCGTCGTTCTCGCTTGCATGTTTTCCGTGTCGTCGGCAAATGGTGAAAAGAATTTGAAGTCGTACTGCAACAAAATAGACTATAGGTTTCTAATCCTTTGCCAAATAAAAATATACATGTAAATGTATGTATATTTACATTACATGTAAATATACATGTAATGAGTAATAACTTTAAGTTACTTTAATTCTTATTCTATCTTCGTTGATTTATTGAATAATAATTTTATATTATTTAGAAATGTTCCAAAATTTGTTGAACATTGTTCGAGTCAATTAAATATCATCAAGTAGGAGCTGCGAGCTAGCAATGCCTTATTAATTGATATATCGTTGCAATAATTTCTGTCCTCGATTGAATCAAATGTTCCTTCATAATTTTTGCTAAAGAAGTACCAATTTATAACCCATCATTTAGATATGAATAACGTCGAATGGCATAAGGATATTACTTAGCGTAATGCATTTAAATAGCGATTTACTCAACACCCCCAATGCGCTAGCGTTCATGTAATGGTTGATTTATTTCTAATGATGATTCATTTAATTTCAATTAGAGTTGATTTCATGAAATTATAATAATTTCATAAAAGTTACTCATGAATAAATTAATTTCCGTTAACAATTATTTTTGTACAACACTTCTCTTTAAACTTCACTTCTTGTTGTTTATTTGTCTGCTACAAATATTATAATCAATAATTAACATACTTCTACCTGCCAAATCAATCTGATATATTGCATCTTGCGTAAAGTCCTCCGACTTTACGCAAGATGCAATATATCAGATTGATTTGTCTGGTGGAACTATGTTAATTATCTATTATAAGATTTGTAGCAGACAAACAAACAACTAGAAGTGAAGTTTAAAGAGGACTGTTGTAAATTAATTGACAGAATAGATAATTTTTACGATTAAAAAAAATTCATTGTACACGTGTAACATCGGTGACACTGGCCTCTTTAGAAGTCTTGTCCTTAAAAAGTAATTTTTAAACGTATATTATTTCCATCAGGTATCATGGATACGAAGTCGCGACCACCACCTCATCACGGTGGGGCGGCAGACCTACAGCAGCGACAACCGCTTCTCTGTTAACTTCAACCAGCATTACAGCGTGAGTTGTAATTATTTACCTGATTTTACTGATATAGAATTATTTCAATAATGGGGATTCCTTGTGAAATGGTTGCTTGCTAAGATATCTTTCAAGTGTTCGACTTCTGGAATATGCCTGCTTCTAAGTAGCGCACAATATGGCTTGGCTTATTTATAGAAACCACCACCATATATGAATTTGTAAAAAATATTTGTATCAATATAACCTACGTTCCATAGATATTTAAATGTTTAATTCTCCTAAATGGCGTCGTTGCGATATATTTCATGAAGAAACGCTGCTTAGCAAAGTCACGCAAAGCTTATGAATCTCCTAAATTTTTATGAAAAACACTTCTTTTTCTCATTCCGTACGTACCCTGTGACTGCGTTCCGTAGGCGTAGATGACTTAGTTCGCCTCAAAGTGTAAGTTAAATCAGCTGCCATTCATGCAGTAATTAACTCATTACTTTAGCCGACGCTTCGATGTGCTGCAAAGAACTGGCACAGCGATCATTCCCTAAGGAAATACTTAAGTAGAACTTAAAAGTGAGCTTCGCAATTGTGAGAACTGCAATGCGTTTTTCTGCTTTCCACATTTTCGCTTCCACTGGCGTAATGTGCTCGAGTATCGCGCACATTACGCTGCAATGAATGTGGGGCAGAGCTAACATCGATAGGTTAGTTATCGACGTGAAAATTACTGATTTGTAACGCGTTTCCTTATCAGTTTTATATCTGAGAAACGGATAAGGAAGCGCAACAACTTCGATGGTAATTTCAGACACCGATTATAATGCGTTTCAATTTTGCATGCCATTTTGCATTTTGAAGGAGTATCAAATTACCATCCTAGAAGCGGTGTGCAGTTTCATCAATCTCATCTGAAATAAAAATTGCATCAATAGATTGATTAGCAACTTATATTTTCAACTATTAAGTAGATCTATACCTCCTATCAATTAATCTAGTCAAAATCGAACTTTTTGTTCGAATCTTTTTCAAATTAAGTTGCCTTGAATAGTACGAACATTCTATGCATCCTGCAGCAATGGACGCTACACCTGCGCTACGTACAGCCGCGCGACGCAGGCGAGTACATCTGCCAGCTGTCGACCGACCCTCCGATGGTGCATCTTGTCAGGCTCTCAGTAACTGGTGAGAGCTTTGCAGAGGAGATATTATTCTAAAATATAGTTAGGGAGTCTGGAACACAAATCCTTAAGTTTTTTTTAGTTTGTAAAATTTGAAGATCTGCATTGAAGCCGTAAAATCTTCAGCCCAGGCCTCGTCGGTGATCGCGGGCGGGCGCGAGCGCTACGTGCACGAGGGCAGCAGCGTGAGGCTGGAGTGTGTCCTGCAGAACCACACGCAGCCTCCCGACTACGTCTTCTGGTACCATAACGGTACCATGATTAACTATGACCTCAATAGGAAGGTGAGAGCTATAACGGTACCATGATTAACTATGACCTCAATAGGAAGGTGAGAGCTATAACGGTACCATGATTAACTATGACCTCAATAGGAAGGTGAGGGCCAAAACGGTACCATGATTAACTATGACCTCAATAGGAAGGTGAGAGCTTCCTCATAATGGTAACGTGATTAACAATTACCTCGTTAGGTGGCTCTAGGAATGACCACGACTCTTTCGTTTAAAAGCAAGGCGAAAAGCAAACTTTGAACGAGAAATAATTGCTTCTATCTAAAGACATAATAGCGTCTATGTATTTCGATGTAATGGCTTCTACATATTTACACTATTGCTAATACGAGTAGATGTATTGACTTTAAGTCGTTGTTCTACGATCAACTATCGAGTGGAATTCAGGGCAAAAACGATAAAAATTGGTTTCTTGAGCAAATCTGAAGTTTTATTAATTCCACGACCTGGTGTTAATGTTGGGAGTTAAAATATATTTCCTAATTATCATCCTCAAGAAATATCGCTCTGATCACAGCAGTTTAGAGGAATTTTAGAGGCCTAATTGATGGGCTATTCAAGTTGAGTTCCTTTTGGCGGAGTTAGCCATTAGAGGCCTTCATTCTGGCCAGGATCCTTCATGAATATAGAAGCGCGCCGGTCCCTTCTTAGCCCCAATAGAGCTATGAAGATGCACGGTGAGCCTTGTTTGGGACATGAAAGCCGATTCTTGTGCTTAAGTGGTCGTATGAGATTTTATGTGGTGAATCACTTTGAGTTAGTCGGACCAGCGTGTGGCCTTGGCTCGTTTATGAGTGCTTTTCTGAAAAGTGTTTTTTTCACTAAAAATTATTTTTACCTTTCGTATGTCAATTCGGAAAACAAAAAATCAACGCATGGAATACAGGGAGTAATTATTGCGCATGAATTAATGGATCAATTAATTACTCTTCAAAATTACTGCTACGTTAGCTGTTATTAGAAGTTTTGATCAACTAAAAAATCAAGTATTTGGGGCCCAGGCATAGATTGCAATAATTTTAGGGAAAACATTATCCATGTTATGTCCCTTAATATTTTTCTTCCAAAAATTATCCAAGTACGATGTCTCAATGGTTATTCACCATAATTTGTAAGCACAAAAAACAAATCTTAACTACAGTCGCTCAAATAAGTGTATTTTTTGATAATCTTATGAGCCAAACTTAGAGCAAAGTTGTGGCCGGTCAGCTGCCACATCTCAACCAAACTTCAACAAAGAATAAGGGAAAGCTCCTACATCGATCCAGGGATCTATTTAGATATTTCTGGGGCTGCCTGGCGGGAGAACTCTCTGGTATTACGAATACTTTATTGCCATGGGGAAATGTTTAACGTCGCAAATCATTGCATGAATAATTTTGGAACAGTTAGCAACTCCTGAATATCTGGTGAATGTAGCTACCACTTTGTGTATTTTGAAATTTTAATAGTTTTTTTCTTCAATTTTAGGATTGCTAATTTCAAAATGTGCTGAACTAATATATTACTCCACATTCCCAAAACTTTGAGTTATTCGAATTCAGTCTCATTCTACAACAGCAAACTCTGCTTCTGTCACTTCAGGTGTCAGTCGAAGCGACTACTGACGGCACTGTCTCTTATACACATCTAGATGTGTATAAGAGACAGCGGTATGTAGCAGAGTAACACGGTATGGCAGAGTAACACGGCGTAGCAGAGTAACACGGTATGGCAGAGTAACACGGCGTGGCACAGTAACACGACGTAGCAGAGTAACACGGCGTGGCAGAGTAACACGGCGTAGCAGAGTAACACGGCGTGGCAGAGTAACACTGTATGGTAGAGTAACACGGCGGGGCAGAATAACACGGTGTGGCAGAGTAACACGGAGTTACTAGCATGCACAGATTATATTCTGATTCTTATATTCACAAATTGTTTGCAGGAAAAACATTCGTTATAGACCCCTTCTTGAGGCGAATGCGTGCATTTTCTTGCACGAATACGATCTCGTGCAAGAAAATGGTGACAACGAGCGTCACTTATAAGACCGAGCAACGATAAACGGCTTGAATGTTATCAATAATGCCATGCATTCAAAAAAAGGAAAACACAATCCTACATGAATACATGCCATTGAAGATAGTTATGAAGTGCTCTAAAAATTCATACATATATTTTTGACGGTATAATAGGATGTGCAAAAACTATAATAAATAATAAAAATTATGACAAAATTGTTGACGGAGAAAGGCCTATTTCTTCAACGCCGACAATTCTATTCTATTCTATTCATGCCTCATGTTGGAATGAGACTTTTAACTATTCTCCCCACAATATGCTATTATGCTTCACTGGTAGAAATAAGCTACATTTTTCATACATACCTTGAAATGAAATTGAAGCACATAAGCAGATTTACAATGTTGAAAAAGTTCTCCCACCTCCAGGACGGTTAGCAATAACAAAACCATTGACGGCCTGGCTTTATTTTCTCATCACCATTCCAGCATTATGACCCGCTGGCTTCGGAGGCTCGCGATAAAATAGGCTTTGCGGAGGGGAAATGCAGTAAACGCAATATTTTATTTGCAATGCGTCTGTAAATGTGAAGATTTATCATCATAAATAATGCGATTCAAAAATTGCGAGTACATTTTGGACGTCAAGCAAAGATTGCATGGGTGAAATTAATTTGGTTCGCCCAATGACAAGAAAGCAAAATCATTTTTCAATGCTTTCCATGTTCAGTGATTGAATCATTCAAGAAAATGGTTGATGCGGATAAATTTGTCTACATTTTTTGTTATTAAGTGTTATATTTTTTGAGATTTTACTGGAAAGTAGTTGACTAACAATTAGAATGCACGAATAATTAAAATGTTCGCAAAAATTTTATTTGTAATGCGTTCTATACGACGTTGGAGTTTCATCGCAACGGTATGCCATTTAAATAACATATCTCCTCATTATCACTAACATATCAATACCAAATCTCTATTATTAATTTTAAACTAAAACCCTTATTTTTCATGTTGTATGTTGTCCACCAGGTATCATGGATACGAAGTCGCGACCACCACCTCATCACGGTGGGGCGGCAGACCTACAGCAGCGACAACCGCTTCTCTGTTAACTTCAACAGGCATCTCAGTGTGAGATAAATATAACAAAACATTATATTTCCAGCTTGAATTTGAACGTTACTGCAAAAATGTTCGCTTCCTTGCGAACATTTTATTACGGCCGGAATATTTCCCTTACACTGAAGTGCAATGGAAATACAAGCAGGCTCCGCGACGTAAAAGGAATGCTAAAAGGCACCTCAGTGTGAGATAACTATAACAAAATACATACTTCTTCAGCTTGAGTCTTAGCGCTAGTGCAAAACTGTTTGCTTCCTTTTACTGAGGTACAAAACTGAGGGCCGGATCATTTCCCTTACACTGAAGTGCAAGGGAAATGCAAGCAGGCACCTCAGTGTGAGATAACTACAACAAAAGTGTTCGACTTTAAACATGCATCTATGCGTTAGAGAACAACTACAAATATGTTCGCTCTCTTACATGGAAGTGCAAACTGAGGTCAGGAACATTTCTCTTACAGAGTAACATGATCAATAATGAGGAGAAGTGTAAGGGAAATGCAAGCAGGCACCTCATTGTAAGATAACTACAGCAATCCCTTGATTAGCACGGTTTTGAATACCGCGGAAAAAAATTTTGCGACCTACCCTTAATCTACGCGGTGCCAGTTTTGATTAGCGCGACTTTTTTTTCACAACGCATCATTTTCCCGCCTCTAGCCAGAGGTGTTACGTTTGTAACAAAAGTGTTACTTTTTGCTTATTAGATCTTATGTTGTTACTTTTGTTACGACTTTTGGAAAAATTCGCCAAATGTTGTTACTTTATGAATTTCAGCCAATAATTCTTTAAATAAGGTCCCGTTCCGTAGGCACTCGTGCTGACTACAGAGTCGGTTTAACTGCGCCTTGTCTCGTTCATAACTCGAATGATCGAGTTCGGCAACGTTCGCCGGTAAGTGCGCCATGCCGGTGCTCTAGCCCTTTAAGCCCTGGAGTGACGAATTCGTCACACAGAAAATAAAAGCTTCTACCGAGAGTAATTACATGTTTGGAGTCTAGCGGCGAGTGTGACGGTAGCGTCACATCACATGTTGTGAACTCGTTCGAACGACGTTCGATGGAGTAGGCGCGTCGCTACTGCCAGTTTAACACAAAGACTACGCGTGATCTGAAAAGTAATTCAGATTGTTTTTTCACTTTCGAAACATAATTCAGTGCGTAAAGGGCTAGTTACTTGTTAGCCTTCAACTGGTCAAGATCGCTGCCATATCTACTGCTCATTTTTATCAAGTTACATAATTTTCCTTTCCTATGCTATTTTTGAGGATTCATTATAATTATTCCCATATATTCTTAAGTTTGATTAGCGCGGTTTTGCTTAACACGGTAAAACTCGGGGATTTATTAGCCGCGTTAATCAAGGGATTGCTGTATTACAAAACTGTTCCACTTTACACATGCATCTAAGCGTTAGAGAACAACTACAAATATGTTCGCTCTCTTACATGGAAGTGCAAACTGAGGTCAGGAACATTTCTCTTACACAGTTACATGATCAATAATGAGGAGAAGTGTAAGGGAAATGCAAGCAGGCACCTCAGTGTAAGATAGCTATAACATAAGTGTTCCACTTTATATATGCATCTATGCGTTAGATAACAACTACAAATATGTTCGCTCTCTTGCAAAGAGTTGCATAACTGAGTTCCCGGAACATTTTCATTACACTGAAGTGCAAGGGGAATGCAAGCAGGCACCTCACTATTAGGGAAATGCTAACATTTACCCCAGTGTAAAGGAAATTCTAAGAGTATTAAAGCAATGCCGGAAAAATTGTCTGAAGAGAAATTTTATTTAACTTTTTTTACTTAGGAAAATGTATTTATAATATAGATCTCTGAGTGGAGATGATGTTTTTTGGAGATGGCAACCGCTCACGGTGTTAATAGTAGTTCGATTCAATATACTTTAAAGCTATAATGCAGAAAATAATTTCTAAAACATTGCTGCTCATCAGTTATAGATTGACAAGATATTTTCAGCGAAATCAAGTAACTTGCCTTTGCACATCACGCATATGCTGACTAAAACACTAAAGAAATGCACACGCAAATGGCGAGAAGACACTAATGAACGCGTAATTTTTACCACTCTTTAGTAATTCTTCTCCATTGTGGAGTTAATCAACAATTTGTCATCGGAAAAATGCTATCATTTGTGCAAAAGGCATCATCATAGTAAAGACAACAGACGTGCAAAAGATATCATTAGAGTAAAGCCAACAGTCGTGCAACAGATATCACGTCTAGGGCAATGACCTAGCCTAACTAACCATTTAAGGTACGCCCTGAGTTGTTATGGCAATTAAGCGCTTGCTCGCATAAGTTATCGGGCACTTGACACGAAGTTTTAGGTTTGATCGACAGTCAATTGCTGATTACTTGCGTGACACGTGATGAAGTGTTGAGTACTTGTTTGATGATCATAAGCGAGCCCTTGATGACTCATTTAAGGATGAATATTTGATGACCAATCAGTTGAGCTTTGATGAAATTTAAATAAAGATCTGTTGCTACTATCAATAATTATATTACAGGTACATGTTAGGTTTTGCCCTTAGCCCGTATAATTAAAGATAGTACGAGTATATGAACTATCATCTATAATTACGTTGAATGAGTCACTGGAAAATAAACGACTAACAGGTACTGGAAGTGAACATAATTAAGAAATCTATTATTTGGAGGCGATTTGTTCCAATTATCCACTCAGGGTACAGATTCTACTTAGGGTTTCACTCGGTCGTAACGAACAAAATATGAGTTACAAATTCGAGCGCTCGCTCACGAATATGTTTCCAAAAATTGAATTTGCCACCATTTTTAGTCGTAATTATTATTTTACGCCACAGAATACAAAATAAAAACTTAAATTATACTCATTCATAACGTGAACAGAATTGGCACCGTGTTCATTACATTTGCATCTAAAATTGAACTCATTAAAAAATTAAACAGAATTGGTGTCATGTCCACCACATGTACATGTTGAATTAAATACATCAAAAAATTGAACAGAATTGGCGCTATATTCACTTCATGTACTTGTATAATTAAACTCATCTAAAAGTTAATATTATTAGCGCTATATTCACCACATGTACGTGTATAATTAGACTCGTTAAAAAATTCAACATTATTGACGCTATATTTACCTCATGTACTTGTATAATTAAACTTATCTAAAAGTTAATATTATTAGCGTTAATATATAAAAGTTAATATATTATATTCACCACATGTACGTGTATAATTAGACTCGTTAAAAAAGCAACATTATTGGCGCTCTGTTCACCACATGTACGTATATAATTAAACTCGTTAAAAAATTCAACATTATAGCGCTATATTCACCTCATATACGGGTATAATTAGAATCGTTAAAAAAGTCAACATTATTGGCGCTATATTCACCACATGTACGTGTATAATTAAACTCGTTAAAAAATTCAACATTATAGCGCTATATTCACCTCATATACGGGTATAATTAGAATCGTTAAAAAAGTCAACATTATTGGCGCTATATTCACCACATGTACGTGTATAGTTAAACTCGTTAAAAAGTTAACATTATTGTCGCTATATTCACCACATGTACGTGTATAATTAAACTCATCTAAAAGTTAACATTATTGTCGCTATGTTCACCACATGTACATGTAGAATTAAACTCATCTAAAAGTTAACATTATTGGCGCTATGTTCACCGCATGTACATGTAGAATTAAACTCATCTAAAAGTTATAATTATTCTGCTATATTCACCCCATGCACGTGTATAATTAAACTCATCAAAAAGTTAACATTATTGTCGCTATATTTACCACATGTACGTGTCAAATTAAACTCATCTAAAAAGTCAACATTATTAGCGCTATATTCACCGCATGTACGTGTATAATTAACATCATCTAAAAGTTAACATTATTGGCGCTATATTCACCACATGTACGTGTATAATTAACATCATCTAAAAGTTAACATTATTGCGCTATATTCACCACATGTACGTGTATAATTGAACTCGTTAAAAAAGTGAACAGAATTGGCGTTATATTCACCACCTGCACATGTCGCTGCACCCTGCAGCAATGGACGCTACACCTGCGCTACGTACAGCCGCGCGACGCAGGCGAGTACATCTGCCAGCTGTCGACCGACCCTCCGATGGTGTACGTGGCGAGGCTCTCAGTGACCGGTGAGTGCCGGTGCAGACTGCGGAGCATTTGATCAGTTAAAAGAAATTTATTATCAATGAAAGTATGTTGAATATCAATGAAAACTAATTAAATATCTATGAAAAATAATTGAATATCAATGAAAACATGTTGAATATCAAAGAGAACAAATTAAATATAAATGAAAAATAATTGAATATCAATGAAAACATGTTGAATATCAATGAAAACATGTCGAATATCAATGAAAACAAATTTCAAATCAAAATTAAAAGAAATCAAACATCAATTAAAGCAAATTATTCCCCAATACGACGAAACAAAAAAAATTTGATTTGCAACGAAATATTCTGAATAATTTCGATGGTACACTCATTTTTACAAATGTCACTAGACACTTGATATTGTATACCTGCAGCAATAACAGTGTTATATCATAATCTGTTTTCTGAATTGTTGTGCTCACGGCAAATTATTCACTTGATTTATGTTAGTGTAAATGTTCCCTATTGTTCACAAAAAATCATTTGCTACCCTATTAAATTTCAAATACCCTCGAATAATGCAATCTAATATTTGTCTAAATTTTGACACACGTTCGCTTCCCGTGCCAGCAGAAGCATCGTCGGTGATCGCGGGCGGGCGCGAGCGCTACGTGCACGAGGGCAGCAGCGTGAGGCTGGAGTGTGTCCTGCAGAACCACACGCAACCTCCCGACTACGTCTTCTGGTACCATAACGGTACCATGATTAACTATGACCTCAATAGGAAGGTGAGAGCTATAACGGTACCATGATTAACTATGACCTCAAAAGAAAGGTGAAAGCTAACATGTAACTACCCTTTACCGAAGCCAGCAGTGGTGCTGACATTTATTGTGTGATGATCAACAACGGCTGTACGGAGACATTGAGCTCCACAAGCTAACGGCGCGGTAATGCTAGTCGCAGCAAAGTTGCAACAACTGCAATGAGAAAGTAGCGTGATAAACTTCTACCATATCAAAGCCGAGAGAACTGTCGTAAAACATCAAGATAAGCTGCGCTGCACGCATCAAGGCGCGAGTACTGCCGAATTACGACTCCAAATGTCGTAGCTAACTCAACCAACAAGTAGGAAGAGCTTTGCCATATGAACACACCATATTAGCCTGAACACTGCAGGAGAGCGAGCGCTAGCATAAGACAGTACTATGATAAAGTCGAGAAGCTGCCATATACTGAATGATTCATTAACTTTAACTGACAACAAAAACGCAGTAGAGCATCCATGTACTAAGTTCATCAAGCAGCGCCAGACTAGTTCTCTCTCGGTCCTGCAAACTCTGCTAACATCTCGTCCATCACTTCATCACAAACTTTGCTGTTTTTACAGTCGGTTTGTTTCATACTACTTCAGCAAACTCTGCTTCTGTCACTTCAGGTGTCAGTCGAAGCGACTACTGACGGCAGTGTGCTGACGTTGCTGTCGGTTGGTTTCATTATACTTCAGCAAACTCTGCTTCTGTCACTTCAGGTGTCAGTCGAAGCAACTACTGACGGCAGTGTGCTGACGTTGCTGTCGGTTGGCCGCACCGACAGCGGCAACTACACTTGCTCGCCCGCCAACGCGCAGTTCGCCTCCATCACTCTGCACATTATACTGGGTATCTATTTACAATTTACAAACTGGGTATCTATTTAATTTACAATTTCAAGAGGATTAGAGCTAAAGGCTGCATTTAAACTAGGTTTCTTTTAAAAAATATACAGGGATTCTAAAATCTGTAGGTCAGCAACGCCTGTCGTGTAACATTGCACTGCCGAAATATTGCACTGCTCGGCATGGACGCGCACAGCTGAATGAGGAGGATGCGCAAGTATTGTTCCCGTTCTGAAATATCTGCCCTTATGCTCCGCCAGCCTAGTGTAAAAATTGCGACACGTCATACCGACGTATGCTGTTGCGCACTGCGCACAACTGTATTTATAAACTATAGGGACGAACGCTTAAAAAAAAAGAGAGCATCTTTATACTTGAAGAACAAGCCGATTTTGAAACTATTCACCAATATCCCTTGCAGAATTACATTTGGACAATATTTATTGATCAAAACTCTCAATTCCTTAGCCATAGTCTCAGATGCTTTACCGAAGTAGGAAAAAGAACAATAAATCAGGTTCCTACAGACACTGTAACTGTTACTGTACCTACTGTAAATCAGGTTCCTACTTTTTCATTCTTAAAGAAATTGTTAATATTCTGTCTGTATTCTTTGCTTCTAAATTCCTGATTTTGAGATTTAAGTATATGCTCAGTTCTCATCCAGGTTGTTATCTGTGAATGATCTCTCGTTTATTCATTGTATCGTACACAACATTTTTTCACATTAATCCATTGATACATTCTCACCACCATTGTCAGTGCAAAATATGACGCAAATTTTTAAATTGAAATTCCTGTTCATATTATACATTTACATTTGTACATTTCACAAATTTCAGTAGAAATCAAGTTTTCTTAAATATTTATTTTTGCCGCCCTGCAGGGGACACGCTGGCGGCGATGAAGGTGTCAGGGGACCACACGATTTGTCCTTCGATGGCGGGCGTCGCATTTTTATTGCTTCTCTCCATCATCAGCAACTCGTTGCGTTCGTGACGCGGCAATTTTTTTTGTTGTTTGTAAATTGAATACCATTCAACTTGTAAATTTACTCTTGTTTAATTAAATTTCGAATTTATCGAACACGAGATTAAACGCAGTCACTGAATTTAATGAATTATAATGGATAATATTAACTAAGACAGACATGTGAGACCAATTAAAATTATTTTAATCCTTTAATTCAGCAGGGACTCAGCAACCTGTGCTTGGCTATGTACGATTGATGGAAACTATATGTCATTTTATTTAATTTCTGAGCAAATCTTTTACACTACACGGGAGATTTTGCTAATGATGTTGAGAAAAATTTTCACAATTTTTATTATAAATGAGCACAATTTTTACGAAATTATACAAAATTAATACAATGGGCGTAAAATGTTGCTGAAATTTTGTTACTGAACTTTATTGAACTACCACCTTATTTGGAATGCTGATAAAGGAATGACAGCAAATAAAAATTATTCATCCAAGCATGCATTGGCATATCTGCATTTCAGTGTCTTTAATATCATTGTACATACAATATGAATCTTTCAATAAATTATTCAAATGTTACTGTATCTTTGTTTTTGAGCTTGTTTGAAAATAATAAATTCATGTGTTGGTTCAAGTTTGAGTAGATTTCAACCACCCAAACCTTTTAACAAATATCATCTAATTGATCACACAGTACGAGCTTGTCCGAAGAAGGCGAAACGTGCAAAAAAGATCCGATTCATGTACGCAGAAACTATTGAAGCCACTTGAATTTGGGGCAAATTCAATAAAATAATCACAATTCGAGGAAATGATAATACTTTACATGTAAATTTTGTCAAATCTCGAACAATTAACCGATTAAACCAAATCTGCGAGGATTTTGTTTGCCTCGACTTTAATTTACCTTAATTAATAGATGGTGATTACAATCTTCCTTGTTGATCCTCCCACTGAGAATAGTTAACGTGATCTTATGTTTGACATTGAATGGCTTATACATAAAGGTAAGCTTAATCGTAATTAAAACGGTTAATATGGCAACGCAAAACTTGTAGAAGAAAGATTCCCTTTGTACGGACGCATGCGTGCGTGCTGATAAAGCAGCAATTAAGTCGGTATGTTGAGCAAGTTGAAAATCTTATCGCATTAATTGGTGCTACACTACCTGACATGCTGAAAACTTCTGAAAAATTACGCTGAGTGAAATTATTAAATGTTAAATAATTTTATTGATAGATTTAGAGTCGACCAAATTTGTTTGAAATACGAATATCGGTTTAAAGTGTTTTGCACAAAAGTTATCATTGAAAATGCTGACAAAAAATTTCAATTGCAAAAGAAATAATTCTTCTCAGTCAATGTAATTGAGAAGGACTATCTGGGTTCATTAAAGTGCACTGCAAAGATTGTGCATGGGTACCAATAGTGTTTTAATACAGAACATTTACAGTTAAGTAATGTATATCAAAATTTATTCTTCGATAGTTTGCAAAAATAATTCGTAATAGTTTCTTCCTTCTGCTTTCAATTTTTTATGTAAATGACGAATTGGTCAGAGTGAGACGGACAATGACGAATCAGATTGAGAAATTCTTGGTAGTATTCTTTACAACAGTGTAACGCACAAAAAAGCAAAGACGGCGATGCGATGAAGTGAATGTCGTCATCGTAGCTAAAGCAAGACTTATAAAGTGGGTTGTGTAATCCCAGTAATGTTAAACCTGATCATCCGTTGTAGTCGAGCATTAAGTTGTTCCTCATGCAAGTTTCAGCAAGGAAATGTCATGCTAAGCCATTCATGAAACTTGACTCGCGCGTATAAATTCCAACTTTGAATCGGAGTTTCATTAATTCTCTAATATTTGTGTCGAACTCTTCTTAGTTCAGACTGTTGTCAAAGTTTTTTTCAAAAGTTGATATTTTATTTATGATTAACGATATTTGAACCCGGGCAAAAAAGTGAAGTTTCTATCTAAAATTAGAATCGTAGGGAATTCAGAACTGACATATAAGAAATACAAATCACACCCAAAATGAATACACAATAAAGTGAAATGTGTTTGCTAAAAAGGACTCAAAATTATACTATTCAATTCAGACTTCCTTTCTCGGGGTAGTCAAGAAACAGGCTTGAAATACTTGGCGCTAAGAAAAATTCAAATGGAGCCGTCTTTTTAGGGATGGGAAGTTATCTTTTTTGTTATGGGAAGTTTTCGGGGATGGAAATGAAAATTATTTATGGAGAATGTACTGTCTCCCGTCTTAATTTGCTTTCTCCGAAAGATATATTTTTGAAATCTATTTTTTTACGAAACTATTTTTCTTCTCTGCTTAATTGTTGGAAAATAGACACACATAAAAGTTCAAATCAAAATTTTATTTGAAAGCCACAGGATTATTCTTGGAATTCAGCGGTGTCGTAAATTGCGAAAATACAGTCACGCTTCTTGAAGTGCAACCCGGAACGAGAGAGCACTGGGCGTTACTAAGACGAGTCTAGACGCTAAAATTGGGTCTTTAACAAAATTCAACAATTCAAACAATTATATTCACCATTTCCACTTGAGCGGCGCATGATAAGAAAGTGGTCTCATAATCGCATTCCCAGGCTAACCTCTTCAAACAATTAAATTGAGCACAGATGACGCATAGGTAGGCTAGCTGGCAACCGTTGACGTGCAGCGATTACGTGGCAAGAGAGTTGGTGAAGTGTAATCCGGAGTTATACTGTGAAAAAAGGAATGGAGTTGATTTACAAACACGCCATTGAATCCATTTCATTTAATTTCTGAATGAGATCCAAGTTAATTTCAATTTATTAGGCAATACTTATTTAACTTACTAACCTTCTAAATTAATGCCGCTGGCAGAATTCAGAAGTGGCATGAAAGTCTTGCAGGAATAAAATGTTAATGGGCGCAGGTACAAAAGAAATGAAACACTGGCCGCCCAACTAAAGGGTATAAGATAAGCTTAAAGCGTTAGAACGCAAAGAGAGGCACAGAGGCCGGCAATAATGCCAAGAATAATAAATGTGTCAACGACACATTTGTTGGCCGACACCCTAAAATATTGGGTCAGACCAAAGAGGTGACACTGAATGCATTAATGTTACAAATTAGGGCCCTTGGCGTGCATTAAGTCAAATTGGTTAATAGGAAATAAGGTTGAACCCAGTTTGCAGTAGCAAATAATGCTTCATAGAGCAATTTTACTGTCACTTTCATGCTAATTCCATCAGTCTAATACAAAACATTCTCTTCGGAAATCGACGCGCTACAAACTTAATCTTCTCTGTCTCCGTTACATTAAAACGGAACATAATTTCTAATAAACACAACAGAATTTCTATTACGATTAAAATAAAAAGCCTAATATCGTTCGTTCGAGTCTTATGTCTAAATGAATAATTTTTCCGTATAATGAGAGTAGTACCAAATTGAGAGCTGTAACATCGCAAACATGTACATCAATTGTGGCTGCAAGCATCAGAGTCCATCATTCGCTGCTGGGTCAATTATAAACAATGATAATGATGCATGGGAGAACTTGAGCAATTGGAGCCCTTCTGGACGCCTTCCATCTCCATTAAACGCTTGATTTATTGCATCAGTAGCTTCGGCGCTCTGAAAATGACACTATTCCACAAGATGGAAGAACCAGTTAGTTGAGAATTTAGTTTCGTATTTTATAGCAGGAAACGCACGCATCATCGTGAAGTATTTTAAATGATCATCGGTAGATTGTGCGACGAAAGTGTGACTAGTATTATTTTTGGATAAAATTTGTCATTGCATCTGTGACTATAGAAGTAAAAATTATACCAGAAAACACTAAAGATGTTTAATTATAAAAGTTTCTAATTTTTATTAACTGTGACATAACAACGTTATGTTCTCAATAAAAGTAATGATCTCAATTCTAAATTTTCCTCTTTTTTCGGTCATTTCATATAGATAAAATATTTATGTAAAATATATTCATATATATACATAAAATATTTATAAATTAATTAATTTAATATTTACATTTAATGTAATATTGATTGCTTTGCCCATACCATAACTTGACTATAAGTTTAGTCAATCATTTACGTAACTTAATTCACTCATTGAAAGCAAATCATATAATATTTAATATAACTAGTATATTTTTTGAGGTAAAAAAGAAAATCAATTTTGAGTTTCAAAAATATCTTGTCTATAGCCAAGTGTAGTGAATCCCTCGCTGTGTTTGAATCTTATTGCACGTGGCAGTCAAGTCTTCAAATTCTCGCGCCCAATTGAACACGGTGGAGCATAAATATGGCCGCTACCAAATTTGGCCTCAAGCCAGCGTAAAATATGAGCCCAGACTCTAGGGTGACAGGCGCTGTATGGAAAAATAATCAAGGCGTAAATTCATGACCGCTGTCGACCGTCCACTTTTGTGCCACTGTAGTAAGCTGGACATTGGGCTGCAGTTTTAATACTTAACGACACAGGTAACAAATGAGTTGAGTTTATGTCTCGCTGTTTGGAGCATTTAAATATTTAAAAGTTATTGTGACACTCTGAAAACACGATTATCTCAATGAAATTACTGCCCCTGCATAATTTTTGATTAAGATGAGGCATGTAAGAATATGACACATAGAGGTTTATTTTTAATATAATTCAATATTACGACTTATGTCGTATCTCAGTTCCACAAAATCATTCTCTTTGACCTGAATCACAATTCACAGCTCCCAAATTTGTATGATTTGTTAAGCTTGGTTGTAATATCGTCATCATCCAATAATATATTTTGTTTTCTAGTATAATCTTGATATAATGTGTAAATCTATTTTCAATTTAAAATGAATCTAATGATTCGCTCCAAGTGCGATCACTTGTTATGGAAATCGCTGAAATAGCATAAAAAATTTCGTTAGCGTTGTCAGGTATAAACAATATAACCGATTTAAGCTTGTGTGACCACAATTCAATGTCTACTCGAAATTAAGAATTTGAAATCCACGATCGTATTTTAAACCAATTGTCGACACTATAATATCGTGTTATTGGAAGTGCCTGTACGCTTCGAGGCCTCAACAAGGCATTGCCAGCAGCGCTTTATTGCCTCCAGACTCAATAAGTTTGACGGATGGCTGCGTTGGGATCACTCTTCATCGTAGACTTCACTCATCTTGTGCTGGACCATAAATTTTTCTTTCTATTAACAAGCCACTTTATTATCATGTAGTAAATTTCTTTTAAATTTGATTGGTAATGTTAACACATGAAATTAGATGCTCGGATCAATTGACTTATATTCGTTTCCTCAATGCAACACTGATTTCTTTGAATAATAACAGAAACTTTTTGACCTAATTTTGAAACCTCAACTTCTCTGTTCTTCTGAATTTTGAAACATCAGCTGAGAATTTTTGTGTTTGATATCGCCATTGAGCTAACATTTTAAATCTACTGGGAGTGTTACTGTAGGAAGTTATGGCCACTCTATTTTCTGACCATCTCTCTACTTTATGATTGTCTCCTTACTTTATTTATGTCTATCTATTTTCTAACCATCCCTCTACTTGATGATTGTTTCCCTACTTTATTTATGTCTATCTATTTTTTGACCGTCTCTCTACTTGATGATTGTCTCTCTACTTTCTTGTCCTCTCTCAAATTAGTTTGTTCTTATTTATACTTCGGTGAAATTTATTTAGATTACCTTGCGTTGAATAAAATAATTTAAGGCAATTTCGTCTGGCTGAAGAAGGTGACGTGGTTTATCTTCTTTTAATAAAGAAATAACCATAATAAAAAGAGACGGAACACCTCATTTATCCGACGAGTGGTTAGGAATGCTACTCTGAATTCTGAAATTCGTTTTGCACGATTGGACATTAATTCTTGATGACATGCATCTGTAATTAGGGAATCAATTGGAACAGTATTATATGTATCAATATTGATGTATGTTGTCATTCAGTTACCTCAATATCTCATGAAACTTCAATTCGTTTCTCCATTGTTCAGTGTTGTTACTGGTGGTGGTGTTCCTAGTGGTGTTGTTACTGGTGGTGGTGGTGCTGGTGTAGTTATCAGTGATGGTATGTCACGCATACGAATAGCAGAAGCAGAGGTTGTACACGAGAGTCTAACGTCAGTGCTGGGTGGCCATCTCTCATGGGGTGTTGGTCAGCAACTGACGTTATACGATTAATATTAGCAAGATCGTGTTGCGCGCGTCGCAGGCCAAAGGGGCTGAGCATTGCCACTAATCTAAGAAATAACATAAATAATCACTGCAAAATAACAAATCGCTACTTATATCGATATTTCTGAAGCAAAAAAAAAGTAATGGTGAAATCGGATACTCTCAGGTACTGTGTTGACATTTTATCGATGGTAATTTGAAAGGGAGGATATCTGTGATATGAGGGATACCTTCAAAGGAAAAGATGACTGTGAAGGAAGGAAATGCAGGTGAAGTAAAGGATATTCCTGTACAATCCGAGTGTTTGTTGAATTTTCACGGCCATTATCAGCTGTGTATTGTATCAATCCACACGTTTTTGAGAATCCGATATGTTCCGAATTTTGTCGTACAAAATCCTATCATCCTAAATATCGTCATTCTGAGTCCTTTCATCCTGAATCGTGTCATCCCAAACCCTGTTAATAATTTTGTAACTTAAAATAAGAAACTTAGAGAATGACTCGTTTCAAAACACGCGTTTAAGGATCCCCGATCAAGAACAGTTTTGAAATTTACAGGAGCTTTAACTTCCACTGTTTGAATAAATTCTTACATAACAAATCGAAAATTCAGGTTTCATATTTTCTTACCTATGAATTAAGGAGACAAAGTTTCAGAAATGGACAATGCCTTTTAGTTATCACTTTACCTGTTTTGTGCATGGGGTTGTCATGATCCCTCGGAAGAGATGATTAGATATCAGAGTGACAGCGACAAATCTCAACCAAATGACCTAAGCAAGCTTGTTGGAAATCAGAGACAACATTTATCAGTCCAGCGATCCTGCACTAACGAACCTGGCAATATTGACCAACTTGTATGGGATCCTTGACAAAAAAGTTATATTTAATTATTTATAAAGAACGTTCATCTTCGCAGCTTGCTTGCGATAGATGCGCAAGAGTACTCACTTCGAAATCATGTATTCCTAGCATGAAAATCAGTATATGCTTTTGCGATAGCAGCAGTAAAGCTCATATGAGAAAGGTTGGAAAACATCGCGCGCGCAAGGATATCAAACCAATCCGCAAGCCGATGCAGTTGGCACGCATAAGCTCAACCAAAAATCTGTTATGTCTCTATGATTTTGATCTTTTTATCTGTACCTCATACCCTCATTTGGCCAACGCAGTCATAATAATCGGCTTGTCCGCGCATGGCTTCATTCTTCAGCCATAGCATACCACGCAGCTTCTCTGGGAAAATGACCGTTTCGCAAACATTTTTAGTCAGTTTCGATGTCTTTTAAGCCGCTTACACTATTCTTTGACCTTATTCATCATGAGTATCTAATTCACATTTATCGGCTTCGAGGATATTTCTTGGTAGAAAAACTTGCGAATTGTAAATTCGATTTCCTTGTGATTTTGAAGAATTAACTGCAGAATTACCGAGAGTAATGTACACGCATAATAGAACTATTTTATTTATACATGAGGTCAAGCATTGAAACCTGAATTCACCATCATTTGCTTCATATAAGATTGAAAACATTTTTTTTCTAAATTTCTCCTTGTGCTAGTTTCCTTTTTCTATTCAAACCAACCTGAAAACTTTTCAATGCTGAACCTAACATCAGACAAAATAAGAATAATTTCTCCTAGTATTGATCGTCCTTTGGATAACCATAGTAAACTCGACCACGATATTCCATGTTGATGCACCGCATCGTACTGCAACGGTTCTTACTGAGATCCTACGGTTGCTATGACTCTCAAAAGCAGCACTGGCAATATTGTGGAAAAAGAGCGTATCAAGAGTAGGCCATAAACGCTCGGGTGTCAATAAAAAGTAATCTCGGTTACTATGAGCCTGATATCGTGGTGCGCGTTACGTCGTCAGCACATAGCCCGTTTGCCATCAAAAACTAACATGGCTTTAAGGTTTATTTTTGCCGAGCGCCGCCTCAACAGTTTTCATCTTCTAGGTTACCTAGCTCAAAATTTTCTTTGCTGTGAATGGCTTTGAAGTAAATATTTTGATGGCTTGGATCAAAATCTTGTTTCTCTTCGTTTCTAAATTGAACCGAAAATGTTATTTAAACAGTTGAAAGAGTAGGCATCGTGAAATTGGTGATGATTAGAAGTCAAATGGCAATCATTCATTCAATCTTGTCTCGTATTTACTAAAAAATGCGATAATGTATAAATAATTGTTGGCGTTCAAATCAAACTTGTTGACGGTTCAGACGTCGATGGATCACATGAGAGTAAAATATAATGTAAACATAAACCGAGGTAATAACGTGGCTTGCGGACATTTAGCCTCTTTGCGTGCTGGTAACTACACGAGCAGCCAAAATATCACAGGTGTCATACTTTCAAAACTCGCTAAGTGAACGTAAGTAGTTACGCTCTATTTTTTTTGTCTATGATTGGTGGATTTTGCTTGATAGGCCGTCAATGATTGGCTGATGAACTTACGATCTCTTAGCTTTTTTGAAAGTATAGGCCCAGGGCTGGTCGGCCGTGACAAACGAAGTCATGTCTGCTCGTCTTGCTTCCGTAATGACGAGCCCAGTTAAGTAACGACCGTGAGACTGATTTCCTGTTTGCGTGAATATGAAACATTGCTGTTAATTTAACATAACTGTTAAAATAACTTCAGTTAACATAACATACAGTTTTAAAAATACCGTAAAATATTACCGACTCTCAACCTCATTCGAAAGAGACTCGTAAATTCTTTTCTGAGAGACGTGCAACTTTGATGCGTATTTATGAGAATCAATGAAATATTATTTTAAATGTAGTATTTTTGTCAATTGTCACACACTATAAAATGCGTTATTAATGAAGGAAAAACTGCAACGTACGCCAGATAGACGCGCACGTTTAGAGTATATTAATGCATAGGTAGATTTGTTGTACGTTCTGAGAAAAATTCAGAAATAAAAAACATATATTCCATAATCGAAAATGATCCTTCTCTTTAATCCCACAAGAAGCGTGTGGCTGATTCAATTCCCTGTAACTTGCTCCGAAAATTAATATCATGGCACTTTAATCTATGAAACGCATTGAGCTACGAAAGAGTTTACATAACAAAAAAAAATAAAAATTTAGGGAAAAAATCAGTTTATTTGTCAGTTTTTTTAAGATCTTCCAGTTTGTGCGGAGTAACGTCGATATTTGTCCGTGTGGTCAAAGGCCAAGATGAAAGTCCAGGAACTTTGATAAGAGCAGAATGATGCCACCTGAAATAGTAATAAAGCTTCTATAGAGCATTATTGGCACTTCTCATTTATGAAGAAAAAAAAAACTTAAAATCTTGTGACATTAAGGATCTAATATCACGTAAATAAATCAACAATTTTTGGAAAAACGTAATTTAACGCGAAAAAATGATACATTCACTGATCGAATATATTCGTCTTTAAAATGCAATGTAGTTTGTTGCTCAATTTTATGGGAACATCATGTCTGATTCCGCAGCCTGTATTATATTGATCAGTAGCCTTCATTAATAGCAACAGTTACAATTGAACCATGATTAACATCTTCCACATACCCCCATTTTTAATCAATGACAGCCCACAAAAAGAAAAATGACAGGAAAAAGAAGGATAAACACTTTGAATGTGTTCCTCGAAATGATCAACTCAAGTGTCATTGCCGGGCGAACAAGTTACAGTTTCGCGGCCTCGTTTGGCGCGCGAGCTGCACAAACAAATTGCCTTCCGTAACATTGGCCCTTAGAGCCGATGTTAGCCTGCTTTTATTGCGGCACCAGTCTTCTGTTGGACTAATTTTATAGACATTTTCCTGTGACGATCTATCGCATCAGCGAAAATACTACAGTCGCATCACAAGCAACCAGCAACTAAGCTGTAGAGAGGAATTTTATTTTTATTTGCGAACCTTTATTTAATTTTTTTTTGGGTTTACACGTACCCTCATAAAATTACATGAGCAATTGAATATAATCTTATGTAGTTTATTATTATTATTAATTCGGCTGGGGTGTGTGAACTTAATAAAGGAATTTATGATTATTACAATCCAATTATTTTACAGATAAATAAATTTACATCCTTTCAAAAGTTTACAAACAATGTAACACTTGCAATGTAATGGGTTTTCACACTACTGAGCTGCAAAAGAGGAAGCTATGCATGTCCACGTATGGCTGTAATAAAACATAAGCCACGGAAATCAAACGAGCGTGCAGAATTATTGAACGATTAATAAAAATACTGAAGAGTCAACAGTGGTATAAATGGAGCGAAAGGAAAAATTCTTAGATAATTAAAAATTAAAGATGAGTCATAAATTATTAATAGATGAAAAATTATCGATTATCTTTTGATTTGCTCGACTTTAACACCTTCGCTTTATTACAAGGTTGCCTGCAGTTATGCATGCTTACTTGAAAGTAATTAATGCCCCTCATTTTTATTATTCTGATGATGAATATTCCGGCGATGTTCACGCACAAGTATGCATTTGAAGTTCGTAAAGACTCAAAGTGTATCTCAATTAATATAGTGAATGCATTTCGAGGTCTCAATATAAAGAAGAACCAAACATTGACCTTGAAATATCGGGTTAAAATATCACGATAATGAACAGTAAAATGTGATGAAGATTAGGTTTATATATCTTTTATGAGTTCATGGTCGAGTTTTCAAACATTCGTCTTGCTGTTGAAATAACGACATAATATTTTGCACAATTAGAATTGAATTACCGTCAGTAATACACATTGTACAAGCCCTTGATGTGAGTGGCCTGCTCCAGCTAAACAATACAGCCGGGAAGTGTCATCCAGATTCAGGCAGAGAACTCAGTCGTGCCTCCATCAAGGCGATGTTCCTGAGCTTTCCATGCATACTAATTCAAGGCTCCGTCGCCTCACAGCCGCTGCGTTCCCTAAAATGTTGGACAGCTCGTCGCGTGGAGGCTGAAGAAATGACGCCCGTGTTCTGGTCAAATTTAAATCGTTAGATCGTTCACAAATTCGAACTGCGTGAATGAAGAATATATAACAGAAAATCAGAGAAAACTCAAATTAAATTTATCTATCGTTAATGAAAACGTACTGCTATAAGTAAATTTAATTACTTGAATAATAAATACTTTTTAGATACTTTCGTTAGTGATTCTGTAACCGAAATTATGTGTGTAGCATTTAATTATTACTTTTTAAGCGGTATTAATTCATTTGAATGAATGCAGCGAATTTTCAAGAATGTGTCATCAATAAACGAATGTGTGAATCAGATGTTATGCCTGAATTATCCCGAGCAGAAGTGGGCCCCAAGTTGATCTTTAAAGAAAGAAGTCGAATTATGTGCAACGAATGATCTTCAGTTCAGCTTTAATCAATGAGGAGAAAATTTATAGTTTATTGTCACGATCTTGAATGAGTTAACAGATTTCTGGTTCTTCATCACTCCCTTGAGTGTGGAATATCACTCACGACAAAATTTTTTTATTTAATTTTATTTTGAGAGATAAATAACGTATAATAGTCTTGGCGGGCTCAATTGCTTTAACTTTCCCACAATTTTCTGGGATCCGTTATTTTCAGCGTTAAGAAAAAGCACATTTGAGGCCGAGGACACGATTTGTTCCACGAAAGTTATAATTGGTTTTAGAAGTTAAACATATATCTCCTAAAGAAGGATTCAGGCTCATTCAAAGGAGTCTTTTGAATAGGAACCGAAGACAAGCAAAATGAAATAAAAAATATATTTTAATTGTTTCAAAGGGATTATATTAATTATTTAGTTTGTATTTAGCTCATATTTAGAAAGTCTCTCCATTTATTACATCATTATATTTTTGCCCTCGAAACTAAAGCATCGATATGCATTTTACTCATTGAAAATGGAATGATGAGCCCAATTCTCTTTAATAGATGTGAACATGTGATTTCGTAGAAAAGCTTTTTCTAGCCTATCACGTTATATCAGTGGATGAAAGATGAAAAAATAATCCTCATCCAAGCGCTGAAGGAAAATTTCCGGTGGTGAATTCCCCATCATTTTTCTCCTGTAAATTAAGGTAGGCCACAGTGACGTATAAAAACAACAAACAGGAGGGAACACGCGTCTTTTCGGACGTCTCTTCCAATGGCAAAAAGTCAACGATGAGAGTCCACACAGTTTTTTTGGATCACCAACTCTTCACTTTGAGCGATAGTGAGCTCGACATGGCAGAGGTAGAGACGATCCGGAGCTCTACAAGGCGGAGGTCGAGACGATCCGGAGCTCTACATGGCGGAGGTCGAGACGATCTGGAGCTCTACATGGCGGAGGTCGAGACGATCCGGAGCTCTACATGGCGGAGGTAGAGACGATCCGGAGCTCTGCATGGCGGAGGTTAAGACGATCCGGAGCTCTACATGGCGGAGGTCGAGACGATCCGGAGCTCGACATGGCGGAGGTCGAGACGATCCGGAGCTCTACATGGCGGGGTCGTGACGATCCGGAGCTCTACATGGCGGAGGTAGAGACGATCCGGAGCTCGACATGGTGGAGGTCGAGACGATCCGGAGCTCTACATGGCTGAGGTCGTGACAATCCGGAGCTCTACATGGCGGAGGTTAAGACGATCCGGAGCTCTACATGGCGGAGGTCGTGACGATCCGGAGCTCTACATGGCGGAGGTTAAGACGATCCGGAGCTCTACATGGCGGAGGTTAAGACGATTCGGAGCTCTACATGGCGGAGGCTAAGACGATCCGGAGCTCAAGAAGGAAACGGTCGAGACGATCCTGAACTCGAAAGCGCAAGGTTCGAGATGGTAGCGATCGAGATGATCCTGAGGCCGACATTTCAAAAGTTGAGGGATGGCGATGTTTGATGTCGATATTTAAGGGAAAGTCCAAATGGCGAACTATGACTAGAATTAAATTAAATTGAATTTTAATATATTTCATTATTGCAGTTCTAAAGCGGTTTCCGTAGCCTCCATTCAATAATACAGAGTAAGCAGTAGTTTTTTCACACTCAGGTCCTTCTCGCGGGGGAAATTTGATCATTCTTTATAACATTAAGAGAAGATAGCATTCCGAAGTAGTTCAATTTTGAAAAGCTCTGACATTCACAAAACTAAAACCCTTTTTGTTTAGAGCTATGGTGTATGGAGGTGTTTATGGGTGTATGAAGTATGAAGCATTCATTTTTCATGTGAATGTTTCTATTTACAGTAGGATGGAACATCTATTATTATAATTTATTTAAAATTACACTGGAAGAAAAATCGGTTCAGCAAATTTATTAGGATCTTTGAATGGTTCAAAATCAGTAAAATTAAATAATAATTCATTTATTTTTATTTCCAGAAAGTTTCCATCAAATCCTTTTTTTTCGTTCCGGTGATAATATGCCGGATTTTTTTTTTGTATTTCACCGGAAATGGATGTTTACCTTCAGTTGCAATCACTGGTAAACTTTCTCCTTGAACAGTGCCTTGAATAGGTCGGAATACAACCTGAAGTGCGCTTCTTCCACATTCCAGTTCACTTCTTCTAAAAGCATTTCCTTGTTCACTCAAGAGCTTTGCTGCGGAACTTAGCTTCAGGGCGTATATCTGCCACGACTTGATACTATCTAACATTGGCATTCGATACGCCACTGTTCCCTCGTAGAACTTTCTTCGACTTAGGATGTAAATTCACAAATTTTACACGCAGCGATCAAATATTTAAATAAAATGATGGTGATTCAGCTGCTTCATGTTTTCGTTGAAGATAAGTTCTCGTGACAAAGTTACTTCACAACAATAGAAAAAAGAAGAAATTTGTAATGAGGTTGCTTGTTGTAATAATTTAACTAATTTGCGAGCTTCTTCATTGAAAACAATCGAGACACGTGACAATAAATTGCGACAAATCTATTATTGTAACTCGCATTTATAAAAAGTTTGAGCTCTCATTTGGCACAGAAATAAAAAAAAATGATTGGAGGCTCAAAGGAAACATTTCGAGAATTTTTGCTTGCTCTACACGCATTAAAATGCATTGGATAAAAGTTTGCCGTTTGTCAAACGAAGCTTAATTACGTCGCTGATTGCCTGTACAAAGAGATCAAGAATTTCACTCTGTGTGCGTATGCAGTAACAAAAATGAGTTGTGACATGGCCTTGCGAGACATGTTTATCGAAAGAGAGTTCATAAAGACCAGAAATTCCGCGTAACTGCTGATTGGTTTTTGCGCGAGGCAAAAATTGCCTTACATCGTACGATAGTCCAAGCGTTAAAGTGACAAAAGGGACATAAAACTGTAAAAGGAATTGTAGAGCTTAGAAGGAAGACTCGAATATGTGTAAATGTGAAATAGTCAGAGGCGAAGAAAGGGTAGCAGTTCTTGTTTCTGCTCGATGGTTTGATTACGGGGTTCCTTTGACATACAAAAAACTTTTTTATATAGGGCGGATTATTTTGAAACTTGGCACACATATGTAAAACAGAAATCGAAAACTTTCATGCTCGCGTAAGTTTTTCGAAAAAATGAAAGAAAACGCGAAATTTATGGAAAACGGCAAAAAAGAGAAGTATTTTGGAGTACTGTAAATCTCCTTATTCAATTAATGCGATACAACATTTAGAGACATATCATTCGCTCTGCATGGACAACAACTAGCGATTCTCCGACCAATTTTTAAAAGTTCAAATTTTTTGGGTGGGTGAAATAAAGTAAAACAAATTTATTAATTTTTTTTATTTTCGGCCCCGCCCCACCCGTATTTTCTAAATGTAGTCCAAACTAAAACGAAATCGAAAAAAGTTACCGAGGAATCTATTTCTCACATATTGAATGTTGAATCTTTCAATGCTGTAGCTTTAAAATTATAGGAGAAGTTATATTTTCAAGATGAAAATTTAAACTTGTCAGGAGAGCCAAAAAACTGAAATTTGTGATCATTGAAGGTACGGGTTTTACTTGCGCTTCGACGGCTGTCGTGAACGAAAAAATGAACGCACAAACATTGCTTTGGACTCTTTAAATGCGCAGTTTTTTGGACCTTTAAACTGAGCCCAAACAGCAGAGAAGCCAAAGTTCGATTTATGCCGAAATGCTCCGCCTTATTGGTTGGGATGCCGCGCAGCACCTACGAAAGTGCTTGCGTCCTACGGTGTGACTGACTGTGGCTACAATCGACTCTGGCAGTTTTCTCGTTGCACCCACCTAGTTCAGGGTTGCATAGTCCATGATTTAGTCATTTCAATTGCATTGGGCAAAAATTTATTATATGAGGTACTCTCTAATTGAAATCAACAAAAAATAAAAGAATTCGCGCGCCGCAACCTACAAAATCGTAGGTGAGTTTTTTTCTCCGCGGATCTTTTTTCTCCGCGGATATGGCCGTTTTTGACACTATCGCTGGCAACCTTATTATACAGTACAAGGACGTTTTTTTTGCATGAACTAGGCATTACAATGCGCCGAAGCTTCGGGTGTAGACATCGGAGGATATTACTCCGCAATCGGACCTAGTGCTCCTCTGCAACCAATGAAGTTGATAATGAATTATGCTAATCATGTGAGGAGGGTCAGACAGTCTCATTAGTTTTCCTCAGATCTAATTCATCCCACACCTCCTGGTGGTAAAATTAGATCTCATTTACGCGTCAAGTTTTCACTCGTTTGCCCGGTTCTTGCATAATAGGAACTTTCGAATCAGACACGTGCCGTGTGGCAACATGTGGGCAGGAGGTTATGCAACTTTCTAATGAAAGAAATCAAAATGTATTTTTTTCGGCATGATATTATGTACATGGTAAAGTTTGAAATTATAATGTGAAATTATTGAAAAGAAAAATGAAAATTCTTTAAGTTCATGACACGATTAAGTAAAGTGGCATGCATATGTCGTAGCCTATGGGTTACCGAGAAACTACAAATGTAATGATTGCTTGAACTTTTTCTCAACTATTCTGTTGAATTCGTCTTAAACAATTATTCATACTAATCCTTCATAATAGAAAGATCTTTCCATTAATGGGGAGAGATTTACTCATTGATTATCCAAAATTTGTTAAAATACTTATTAGAAAATTCCGAAATGAACTGTTATCAGTAACAGTTTATACGTATGCTCCGATCCGTATTGAATAAATGCAGCATCTAAACTTTACTGGGATTTTGACTAGAAAACAAGAAGGCGTCTTACTTAGTGCTACTCATGCACGGAGTGAAGCTCCAACATTATAACATGTTAGCTTATTTCCGCGCTGTCACTTCAGCAAGTGAACTCGGACACTGGAATTTAACCTACCCCGCCTCCAGACTCTCTGTAGCTGGCATGGGTTTGGTGGTAACAGAAATGTCATGTAAGTGGATTTAGGGACTGCTGTCGAGGTAAATACAGGGTGACACAAAAAAAACAGAGCTCATGAAAAGTTGAATAATTTCCACAATACTCAAGTAATCCTGTTATTTGTTTCAGATTCATTAAGAAGACGGATTGATCTAAGAGTCTACCACGTGTGAGCTTCGAGATGCCTTGGACTACAGAGCAAAAGACATTTGCAGTTGAGACATATTTTCGGCTAAAGTCTTTCCGGGAAACGCAATTGCGACTTTGCCAGGCGAATCCAAGTCTGCCTGCAGCGCCGGGGCGCGCATCTGGAACATATCTTTGAGCGGCTGTAGAACAAAGAGTTTTTGTGGTATAGAATTGAGATTTTGCAGATGTTGGCTACATAGGTTGTACATACAGTAATTCCATAGAATTTTTGTTTCAAACTGAATAAAATTTCAGGAGTTATAAGACTTTTAGTGAGCTCTGTTTTTTTTGTGTCACCCTGTATAATGTGGCAGAAGAATTCATGTCCAAGTATTATTGATTGCATGAATTAATAACGTAGCATTTCCTCAAAATACTAAAAAGAAAACTAATCTTAGTTGAAATATTTCTTAGTATCAAGTTAGCGTTAAGTTGAAGGAAATTATTTTCAAAGCATTTTGAAGTCAATTGTTGCACACAATTACATCTGAAATTTTTCTAATCTATGCGAGCAACCTAATGCGAGGATAATATTTAATTGGTTCATGTTTTTAAGAATTATATTTGATTGAATTTTTACGATGCGAGCGTTCTTCGTTGTTTATTTACAGTGGTGATAAAACCATAAGAAGTGCCGTTATAAAACTGTTATATTGTTAACACATATGAATATTGTAACGGTTATACTTATAGATAAATAAGCTAATAGCCGTTGTATAAAAATAAGTACAACATTTGTCTTGAGTTTTTTTCGATCAACGAGATCTAATTCAACTTGTGCCTGCCGTCAACTTTTCACCGAGGGTTCGCAATCATTCGGCAATACGAGCGGCAATTGGAAGTCAGCGGTAGTCATTCTAGTTCTGGGCCATGAATGCCTCGGTATTTCTTTGGAAGAGAATGTGATGCGGGGGTAACATATTACCTTCAAGACGAACGGAACACTTGCCACCGAGCCGCGCAGCTGCCACTGAAGTAAGGTGAAGGTGATGCGGGAGCTACATATTACCCTCAAGACGAACACTTGCCACCGAGCCACGCAGCTGCCACTGAAGTAA